ATGCTGATATGTCATTAAATGTCTGGGCATTATGGGAATGTATTGGTCATAAATTTTTAAGGCATAGTAGAGGGAATAGAGTTGACCTGGGAAGTAGGAAAGACTTTCATATAAAGCAATAAATATCAATGAGAAAAATATATAGGGACAAAATGATGGAGACAAGCCAAAAGGTTGGAAATAGAGCTCTTGAAAACAACCTGTTCTATCCTTGTAGCAAAATAAGCTGACAGTTCAGACGCTTATTAGAGAAGATTGAGTTACATCCCTGCATACTTTCCACGTCCTTTTCCTTCCACCTGTGGATGGATTACATGAGAGAATCTAATATAATTTGCTCATTAAAGCCCATCCGTCTCCTTTTCCTCTTCATCTTTCCTGATTATTTTTCTTCCAAACGTTGGGCTGTGCATTTCAAGAGACCCAGTTGGGTGCCCACCTCTGCCACAGGCAAATGATAACTTGTCTAAGCTTTACTTTCCTCATCTATAAAATGGGCACAACAATACCACTTCATAGAATTGTTGTGAATTTTGCATGTATACAAAGTGCCCAGTGTGGTGGCTGGCACGTAATAGATTTTAGTTCCTTTCCTGTCTCTATCTACAAATTAAATAGATTTCATGTGGGTTATTGGATATAAAGTTATCATGGCAATGTCAAAATATTCACGTGACAGTTTGTCTTGTAGGTAGTAAGTTACAGTTATGGGAGCATACCATGAAGGGAGAAGGTTCTACCAATGGAAACTTACCATTGCAGGGTAGCAGGAGTGGAGTGGGGCTTGGAGGCTCTATTATTTTCTTTTTCCTCATCTGTTAAAGAAAAGAAAAAGGAGCTAACTTGAGTAGGAAAAAGTAAAAGGCCTTTTAGTTCTCTCAAGTTTCAAAAGCCTGTTTCCCTTAAATGTTGATGCTTTGAAAATAGTATTTTGGCCTTTCCAACATGTTAGACATAGCATATTTTAATTCTGAAAAAAGGGGGAAACTGATTTATAGAAAATTCTTACATCAATTTGTATTTTTTTTTTTTTGACATGTTATAGTTTGAAGAGTAAGCTCCCTTCATTGAACAATAAGACCATACTCATCCATTTGCTGTTTCCCCAACAGAAGGAGGGTGTTTGCCTCCATGACTGTGGCCCTGAGAACACACTGACCTCATTCACCAGTTGCTCTTTGTAACCCAAATAGAGCACAGTTAGTGCAGGGCAGGCAGAGTGTTCCTAAGTGTTCAAAGGAATTAGGTTAGGAATACAATAGAGTCAGAGTTGGCATTTTTCTTTTTAAAGAGCCAGATAGTAAATATTTTAGGATTTGTGACCAAGTGGCAAAATCAAGAATATTACAAAGGTATTTACATGACAAGAGAGAGAAAAAAATTCCACAATTATTTTATTAAGTATAATATTTTAAATATATGTTTACTAATGATAAAAATGAAATTATTTGGGGAGGTAGATAACGTTTTTCTGAGTTGGAGTTCAAAGTTAGTATTTCCTGTCATCTAAGGAGCTCTGATAGTGTAGTGACTAAGGCACTTGACTGCTAACCACAAAGCTGGTGGTTCAAACCCACCAGCCACTCCTCGGAAGGAAGATGGGGCAATCTACTTCCATAGTGATACTGCCTCGGGAACCCAAGGAGGGGTCACTATGAGTCGGGGCCAACTCGACGGCAAACAACAACAACAACAAAATGCATTGCAAACATTCATCTGTAAGAACCATTCTCAGCTTGTAGGCTATGCAAAAGCTGGCAGGAGGCGGGCCAGTTTTGGCCCGTGGGTGGTACTTTTTGGTCCCTTTGATAGGGCAATCTGAATGACAGATAAGTGTGTGTATATCTGAGGGGACCTGCTTACAATTTTATCATGGATGATTGAGAAATATAACAATCAGTCTCTTATCCAATTCCTAATGAAAATTATTGATACAAAGTTGTTGTTAGGTGCTGTCATGACAGCTCCTACTCATAGCAACACTATGTGCAACAGAACGAAACATTGCCCGGTCCTGTGCCAGCCTCACAATCCCTGCCATGCCTGAGGCCATCGTTACAGCCACTGTGCCAATCCATCTCCTTGAGGGCCTTCCCCTTTTTTCGCTGACACTCCACTTTACCAAGCATGATATACTTCTCCAGGGAATGGTCCCTTTTGACAAGATGGCTAAGGTAGGCGAGACAAAGTCTGGCTATTTTCTTTTCCAAGGAGCATTCCAGCTGCACTTCTTCCAGGACAAATTTGCTCATTTTTCTGGCAGTCCATGTTACTTTCAGTTTTTTTCACCAACACAACTCAAAAAAAGCATGAACTCTTCTTCATTCTTCTTTATTCATTGTCCAGCTTCCACATGCATATGAGGCAATTAAAAATACCATGGCTTGGGTTAGGGGCACCCTAGTCTTCAAAGAGACATCTTTGCTCTTCAGCACTTTAAAGAGGTGTTTTGCAGCAGATTTGCACAGTGCAATATGATGTCTGATTTCTTGACTGCTGCTTCCCTGGGTGTTGATTATGGATCCAAGTAACATGAAATCTTTGACAACTGCAATCTTTTCCCCGTTTATCGTGATACTACTTATTGGTCCAGTTACGAGGATTTTCTTTTCTTTATGTTCAAGTGTAATCCATAGTTCAGACTGACACAAAAAGTCAGTATAAAATAAAACTAACTTCTTGATCCACAAAATCTGACCCAAGAAAATTGGTACAAAAAAGTTTCAAAAGAAAATTAGTAATGTCAAAAGCTACAAATATAATCGACAAAATTAAATATGGGCACATAAAATAATCAATGAAATAAATCTTTGGTGTAAAATGTAGTTGGAAAAGACTTGGTACACATTAAAATAACTTACATCAAACAAAAATGAAAATTGAAGAAAAAGAAAATGGTGTACACATATAGAAAATTAAAAAAAGTAATAATAAATCAGCTTATTGAAGTTGAGTCCAGAGAATGTTTTCATGATGAAGATTTATCAGTATTGGTAAATTCTGATTGAAATATCTGCTTGTAAATATCTTGGCAAATATTGTTGTTGCTTATTCATCAATCTACTTGCTTTCTTCCTTATTAATTGTTGTTGTTGTTATGTGCCATCGAGTAGGCCCCAACTCATAGCGACCCCTCCTTGGGTTGCTGAGGCAGTATCACTACGGAAGTAGATTGCCTGACCTTTCTTCTGAGGAGTGGCTGGTGGGTTTGAACCGCCAGCAATTTTAAGGGGACCATGTGTTCAGGGAAGGAGCCCTGGTGGTGAGATGGTTAAGGACTCAGCTGACAACTAAAAGACCGACAGTCTAAATTCAACAGCAGCTCCATGGGAGAAAACTTCTGGTTATTTGCTCCCATAAAGATTATAGCCTACAAGTTCCTATAGGGCAGTTCTACTCTTGTTAGGGTCACTATGAGTTGGAATCATCATGTTGAAATACAACAACAGAGTGTTTAGGGAGAATTAACCCCTCTCAAACCCTACAGAGGTGAGTGTTGATCAATTTAAAACAATCATGGTAAACCTAACCTGTGTAGTTGCTGATTGGATTACATGGAGCACGTACCATGACTTATAAGATTCTAAGACTTAAGAGAAGCCCTCTGGGTACTTTTGGGAGAGATGAAAAACAAGTCGCCTTGGAGTTGATTCCAACTCCACGTGTGTCAGAGTAGACAGTGTACCATAAGGCTTTCAATGACTGATTTCTCAGATATAGATCACCAGGTCTTTCTTCAGAGGCATCTCTGTGTAGATTTTAACTGCAAACCTTTTGGTTAACAGGTGAGGATTTTAGCATTACCCAGGGTCTCCTTCTGAGAAAGGTATCATTTCCTTAGAAAAAGAAATGAGAGAAAGATTCTGCCCAGTCTTTGTGTTCTCTCCAAGCAGTGCCTAGCACAGTGCCTTCCACTTAGTACTTAATAGTGGATTCTGTCTTCCATAAATGTCTCCTACAACCTTAAAAAAAATGAAAAGAATATGATAAAGAACATGAACATGTGGGGTCTCACAAGAGTATCAGTAAATAGATGCAAAGATGACAAAGTGGCAGGGAGGCCACACCTTCTGACCTTCTCTAACCCCACAAGAGGAGGACAGAATCACTATCAGCAGCCCAAGGCCTATTCCTGTGAAGCCAGACATGCCGCCTCCTTCCAGGCCTTTCACCAAACCTGACACTAATCGTGATTTCCATGGCACTCACTACCTTTCTGCTGGGCTCGAAAATTGGTTGCAGTGGCCACATAGAACTCACAGACACCACTCACAGATTATGGGGTTTATTAGGGAAGCAACAGGCTACAACTCAAATTCAGGAATGTGCTCAGGATTCACTTCCTCGGTCAGGACAGTCTCCCCTCTGCTGTGCCCTTAGATATGTCTCTGTGGCCCTTGGCCTTTCAGCCTGGCCTTGGTGGGCCAGATAAGCCTGCCACTCTGTCTCATGCCTCTTGGTTCCACTGCTGCGATCTCTCAGCCAGGTTATCAATCTTCCAGCCATGGGTCAGTCTCTCAGTTATGGGTTGGACTCTCAACCATGAGCTCTCTCAGTCAGCAGTGAGAGATATTCCTCCTTTCTGCCTCTAGAAGGGCTCACTTTAAGCTGAGCAGAGTGGTAAAACCAACCAGTCCAAACACCAGAATTCCACCTGAGAGAGAGACCAAACTTCCCAGAAAATTGCTTCATACTGCTCACAACAGAAATACCCTAGGTGGAAAAACAAAAAGTTACCTACAAAGGACAGCCAGTAAGAATAAGCTCTGATTTCTCAGCAGAGACCATGCAAGCGAGAAGGCAATGGGATGGTA